ACAAAGCAAATACTTGAATAAAAATTTGCTATAGCTTAGAAAAGAATTTAACATTAACAACATACAAAAGATAAAAACTTTCATTGTAAACAATATAGTAAGATTCCATTTGGTAGTTGTTTCTGCTACTAGCTTTTTGCTTTCAGAAGCAGCAAGTACATTTGGATAGAAAAGACAATAATACTTTAAAAGAACTAAAAATAAAAAATATAATCTCTTGTAGAACAAAATACTATGATTCATCTTTTAATAGAACAAGTATATTACAAATTCTACTCATTTAATCATATATATTTTCAAACAATTATGACTTTGCTTTTTCCCTTTTAGGTTTGTTCTTTAGAAACCTTTTAGGAAGCCAAAAACAATTAGAAAAAACATAGTAAGAGTAAGGACCAATAACAACCTAAATTCTCATGACCATTTTTGCATCAAGTCTATTGGAAGAATGACCATACAATCTACGCAGGAAAAGAAGAAAAAGAATTTATATTTTCATTTTTGGTACGAAAAAGCTGGGAAAAACCATTTGCACAAAAACTGTAACAGCAAATAAAGCTGAAGGGTGTGTTTTTAGAAATGATATTCTCCTGCAAGTCCAATTATTACCAGTGCGCAATATCCATATAAACAAGTAGACCCAACTCGTGAGCCTTATCTATCAATGACTTAAGATTATCAGGGGTTCCAAAACGACTGCTTGGTGCAAAGATGTTTGTCGCATGATACCTGCAACTTGTTAAAGGTAGAAGAGGTTAGTTTCCATAACCAAAACTAAATTCTGAAGAAATATTTCTGTTTACATCCAACACATAACATTTTAGTACAAGTTAACAAACATAAACAGCAACAAATAAAGATGAGTTGATATTTTGATGGAGATAATACCCAAATCAAGCATAATATAAGTGCTCTTGAACAGCCATGATTTGAATAGCATTATATCCAACTCTTTTAATGCAAGGAAGCACATCATCTCTAAAGTTGGCATATGTGTTAATTATTGGCTCCTGCATCTCAAAGTTGATAATATTAAGAAAACTAGGAAATGGATTAACCATACCAAAGTGTACCATGGAAGATAAAGACTGAAGGAGTTTGTGGGACAAATTTTCTTTGAATGATAGTATGACGAAAACTAGAGATAAGTTTTGGTTTAATTGCAAATTTAGGCTTCTTAATGGGTTTTAGAAATGGGTAAAGAATCATAATGAAATGCAATCAAACCAACTTCTATGTTATTGATTTGAAACTACTATTTAAGATATTTCTATACACAAAGCAGTTAACAGAGGTCCAAGTCACTAGCTGTTTGGCATTTGCATTATCATTAACTAAAGTAATACTCATTATTTAGTATAATCCAAATGGAAGGACTTCCTTTAACCAAAGAACACGAAAAGTAGGCCGCATGCACCTATGTGGCTTTTTGCTAGCTTAATTTGACAAATTTTCTCTTTAAAAGAGCCCACTCTGCCTATGGGATGCAAGAAAGTTCCGTTTCAAAATTTACAGGCCTTTCCAGATAGCTATACTGTTTGATGCTCTTAAAGATGTTCAATGCAAGTCAAAATGTTTCTTTATCTTCCTTGTGTTTTGTTTTTTTTTTTTGGGAAGAGGGGAGGTAAAATTGATAGTTTAAATACAGATACTAAGATAAATTTTCCTGTAAAATGTATTGCCTTATAACGCCTCCTACTTCACTTTTCGGTCTCAAAAACCTTGCAAGAACACTTCATAGGAAAGATTGAAAGAAATAGCATAAAAAATATGATCACACACATGATAGCATTTAATGAAGCTTTTTATCAAACTTAAGGTTTCCTCTTTTAAGATTAAATAAATCAAGGAAATGCAATTCAACATAAAGACAGAAAAGTTGAATAACAATTTGCTACATGCAAGGGAAAGGAAGATGCATACCATGCTACCCATTCCAACATGTGATTCATAGACTTAAGTGATTTTGGTCCTTTTGGCTGGGGGTGTTTGTATACATACTTTTCCTGTTATAGTATAAAAATCATTAGTCAGGATAAAGAGTACAAAAATTTGAGATAAGACATATTATAGACTAAACTAAGTTGATTGTGCTGTGCAGTGATTAAACTTGAACAAGCGAGAACACAATTTAGAAACTGACTTCATATATGAAAAAGAACCAATCAAAATTGTTTTCTTAAAAACCTTTAAGGGCATTCATGTTAATATTAACGTTATAAAGGAAGAAGTTCATCAAAACAACCTACTCTAAGAAGAATAAGAAATTCATTATTCGTTTATATATCAATTAATCATATTTGTGTGCAGGCATGCATGCATGCTTTTGTTTATGTATCCTCACACACATGCAGTCATTTTAAAATTATCATAAACATTAGTTGGTATTTCTAATTTTCCCCAAGCTCCAAATGTTTCAGCTACTTATAGTTTGAAAAGAATAAGTTATCTAATCTTTCCAATAAAACCAAAAGATCAAACAGCAATTAATTATACCTCTTCTGGCGGATCATAGTATATTCCGTTGTATGAGATTTCACCTAGTGCTCGAATAGAGAACTTGATCCAAGCAAGAATGGAGTCCTTAATCCTAGATGGAGTTTCCATATGAATCTACAATTATATGGTCAAAAAGTTAAAATGGACACATGGAAAAAGAGGTTTGGATGAATGATAATTGACATGATCATAATAGTCCACCAAAAAATTATTTTTTTTTCCATCTTCATCTTTTCTTTCTTTTTTTCTCCATTCCTTTTAGGATAGGAATTAGTTGGATTTGAACTCAGCTACCTTGAATAATTTTGCTTGACTTAGAGACCGCCCCAGTAAATACTTCAATGCCTTTATGTCATGAATTCTAGTAATTAATTATTGTGAACGTTGTACTACAACCAATGATTTATTCAAACCATATACACATGTAATAGGATCAGTGTTAAAAAAAAGCATCATACTTAAAGGTTCTTGGTCCTCAGATCATGATCAAAAGGTTAAATACCTTGTTGATCTACAGGGAAAAAGTTGCAAGTTTTAATAGTTTCTTTTTACTCTAACTTAAAAAAGTGGAAAAAGAAAATAATAAACAAGTAGTATTTGAATGTAAAGCACAATAAGTTTCAAGAGCCAAACTTATGTTCATCTACGGGTAATTTACCTTCACTTGAGAACCATGGGGAATTGGTGGTGAACCATAAGCATTATTAGCCAAAATATCTCCCAGACACCAAACTCATTCTGTTAAAAAACAATTAATATTGTAGAATTAAGCACTAGATGTTATTTAAATATAGAAATAGACAATAGATCACTGCCAGTGTAAATCAACACAGCTTTCTAAGCACTTAGAACATAGTCACCTTCCCTTTTATACTTGAGACTGCATGGCATTAAATATATGAATTAGCTGATACAATTAATTGTTACATAAGCAAGGCGACTTTTGCACTTAATTATAACAACTTTGACAACGTTTATCTTCTTAACTTTTCTATTTGGAGCTTTTAAGAATACCAACTGCACCAGACTATACACCCAATCTTTGGTCCATTAAGAAGAATATTCATGCTCACATACATTTAAAAAGATCCATGTTTACATTCAGATTTAACATTAAGCTAAGTGTTTTGACAAACCAAACTTAAATAACTTTTAACTTCTTTCGGCATGTGCATTTAGAGAAGATATAAGCATTGACTTATGAACAGCTGGTATTGCAAATACTACAGATTCTTAAGGCATACATCTTAGAGAACATGGGTTAGAGTCAAAGAGAAAAGCAGGGAAGAACTGATTATTATGACAGATGACAATTTAAGATGGTGGAAGTATACCTTCAACTATTGTTTCTTTTCCTCTTCAATATTAATAGAACTTAAAGAATGTTATTTTTGCAAAATAATATATGAAAATCTGCAACTAATCACTCCAATATAAACATTTTAATCAATTAAATGTTCCTTACTATGCTAATATTCTAAAGTGTAAAACATAAATTACCTTTTATTGTGCTAGTAGCTCTTTAGGTGAATTATTTGCACAAAAGATGAAATATGTGAAAAGCAAAGGATATTTTAAGATTTCTAGAGATGCTGTTTGGTTCCCTTCAAGTGTTTTTTGGAATTTTCATTTTTGGCATCTTTAGTTGCTATGTTTCCATAACTCTTCGTCTACAATAAAAATTAGTTCAATTTACAACAAGCATTTTTAACAATTCTTTAGTTCATTCTACAATATTAAAACACTTAACTACTAGCAGGGTAACCTACTTATTCATGGCATATGGATTCAATTGATGCATGAAGAGAAGTGATGAAGCAGTAGAGAATTAGAAAAACATGAACAATACACAAATGTTTGGTAGGCTTCGCACACAAGTATCGTGTGCAAACTTTTTCAAAATCGTTTCTACACTTAGCATCCTCATGCATCACATAAAAAAGTATTGAAACCCCATTCCATTTATGCAACCTAGTTCAACAAATATTGCTATAGAAGAGACAGGAGACTTAAAGCAGACATCATAATTCTGGAACAGATAAACGATTATAAGTCTATGTATGCTCAATGTGACTCAAAGAGGAGTTATAGAATATACATCTTCACCAATGGTGACAGCCTCAAGATATAGCCCATGAATCATATGATTAACCAGCATCAGATAGACAACAGCATCTACATTAGTTGCATTTCCGAAGTACTCATTGTAGTTTCTAGTAAATGTTACCTATAGCAAGTTCAAGAAAACAAAGGTTAAGCTGGGATAATACATTATAAAGATGCAATGACACTAAAAACCTTTAATGCTCAAGAGAATTTAGTTAAGAAACAAACATAGAGAAATGATGCTTCACCACTTACAAGAACCAAATGTTACATCAGTTCTACTTCTCTATATAACATAAAGTCAAAACTTTGATAATTAACATCTAAACATGCGAGTAACTTATTATATAACACCAAGCAGAATAGAAAATCTGCAAACTCACTCAGATATTAACTGCAACCCATGATAGGTGTAATCATTGAAGTCACAACATTAAATCTGAACCCGTCAAACTTGCATTCTTCAAGCCACCATCTTGCATTTGAAAGAAGAAACCTTTGTACCTAAAGCAACAAGTAAAAATTAATATTTACACACAATAGGATGGAAGGAAGCCAAAATCTTTCAACAAGCTATTGTTTAAGAGAAGTTTCAATAGAAGTACATACTTCCCAGCTTCCACAATTAAAAAGGCGAGAATCCCACATCCAGTGGTGACCCTTTGACCCCGAGTGGAAGTAATGAGCATTGGTTCCATCAAACATGTTCAATCCATCTAACACATTATTAGATAAATGGTTGTATTCGTCATCAGTCAGATACAAAGATGGATGAGAAAATTAATTAATAACTTAATTTAACTAAAGAATAAAAATTAACTGAGACTTATAGCAAAAGATTACTTACTTAAAGCAACAGAGCAAATACTTGAATAAAAATTTGCTACAGCTTAGAAAAGAATTTAACATTAATGACATGCCAAATATAAAAATTTTCACTGTAAACAATACAGTAAGATTCCATTTGGTAGTTGTTTTTGCTACTAGCTTTTTGCTTCCAGAAGCAGAAAGTACATTTCGGTAGAAAAGACAATAATACTTTAAAAGAATTAAAAATAAAAAATATAATCTCTTGTAGAACAAAATACTATGATTCCTCTTTTAATAGAACAATTATACTAAAAATTCTATTGCATTTAATCATATATATTTTCAAACAATTATGACTTTGCTTTCTCCCTTTTAGGTTTGTTCTTTAGAAACCTTTTAGGAAGCCAAAAACAACTAGAAAAAACATAGTAAAAGAAAGGAACAATAACAACCTAAATTCTCATGGCCATATTTGCATCAAGTCTACTGGAAGAATGACCATACAGTCTAAGCAGGAAAAGAAGAAGAAAAAGAGTTTATATGTTCATTTTTGGTACGAAAAAGCTGGGAAAAACCGTTTGCACAAAAACTGTAACAGCTAATAAAGCTGAAGGGTGTGTTTCTAGAAATAATATTCTCCTACAAGTCCAATTATTACCTGTGCACAATATCCATAAGAACAAGTAGACCCAACTCGTGAGCCCTATCTATCAGTGACTTAAGATCACAAGGGGTGCCAAAACGGCTACTTGGTGCAAAGAAGTTTGTCACATGATACCTGCAACATATTAAATGCAACTTGTTAAAAGTAGAAGAGGTTAGTTTCCATAACCAAAACTAAATTCTGAAGAAATATTTCTGTTTACATCCAAAACATAACATTTTAGTACAAGTTAACAAGCATAAACAGCAACAAATAAAGATGAGTTGATATTTTGATGGAGATAATACCCAAATCTAACATAATGCGAGTGCTCTTGAATAGCCATGATTTGAACAGCATTATATCCAAGTCTTTTAATGTGGGGAAGCACATCATCTCTAAAGTTGGCATATGTGCTAATTATTGGCTCCTGCATCTCAGAGTTGATAATATTAAGAAAACTAGGAAATGGATTAACCATATCAAAATGTAGCATGGAAGATAAAGACTGAAGGTGTTTGTGGGACAAATTTTCTTTGAATAATAGTATGATGAAAACTAGAGATAAATTTTGGTTTAATTGCAAATTTAGGCTTCTTAATGGGTTTTAGAAATGGGTGAAGAATCATAATAAAATGCAATCATACCAACTTCCATGTTATTGATTTGAAACTGCTATTTAAGAAGTTTCTATACACAAAACAGTTAACAAAGATCCAAGTCACTAGCTATTTGGCATTTGCATTATCATTAACTAAAGTAATACTCATTATTTAGTAATACCAGAGAAATATTTGTTTTTCATCTTCATCTTTTCTTTCTTTCTCCCTTCTTTTTGGGGCGGGAGTTAGTTGGATTTGAACTCAGCTACCTTGAATAATTTTGCTTGACTCGGAGACCAACCCATTAAATACTTCAATGCCTTCATGTCATGAATTCTAATAATTAATTATTGTGAAGGTTGTAGTACAAACCAATGATTTATTCAAACCATATACACATGCAATAGGGTCAGTGTAAAAAAAAATGCATCATACTTAAAGGTTCCTGGTCCACAGGTCATGATCAAAAGGTTAAATACATTGTTGATCTACAAGGAAAGAGTTGTAAGTTTTTATAGTTCCTTTTTACTCTGACTTAAAAAATGGAAAAAGGAAATAATAAACAAGTAGCATTTGAATGTAAGCACAATAACTTTCAAGAGCCAAACTTATATGCATCTATAGGTAATTTACCTTCACTTGAGAACCATGGGGAATTGGTGGTGAAATATCAGCATTATTAGGCCAAAGGATCTCCCAGACACCAAACTCATTCTGTTAAAAAACAATTAATATTTGTAGTATTAAACACTAGATGTTATTTAAATATAGAAATAGACAATAAATCACTGCCAATGTAAATCAACACACATGTTTACATTCAGATTCAACATTAAGCTAAGTGCTTTTGTGGGAAAACACTTATTTACAGCTGGTTGTAATCTTGTAATCTGTATATTTATATTTGTATCTCTAGAATTAAGTATTTGTATCCCTAGAATTAAGGAAGATTTAGTTTCCTAGTTTAACCCCTAGTTAGTTGTATATAAACCTAAGATTCTTGTATAATTGGATATAAGCAGTTTTTCAATATACATTCAGTTTCCACATGCTATTAGAGCTTTAGGCTCTTCTTGGGAAGAAAAATTTTCAGCCTTCATTGCCGAATCCTATTTAGGCCTTCATTGCCAAACCCTTTCAAAGAAAGATATCACTATCACCCAATTTGAGGAAATGTTAACTGGGAAAATCACTGGAGTACTACAGATGTCTCAAAAACAAGGAGAGTTCAACAGGGAAGAGATTGAAAAGCTGAGAAACTTATTGAAAATCCTTGAAAAGCCTACTATGGTATGTTCTTTGGGTAAAGTTTCTAGTTCAGGTAAAACTTCCGGTTCTCATGGATTAAATGTCTTGGCTAAACCTATTACGAGTTCTTGGGTCATTGACTCAGGAGCCACAGACCACATGACACATTCCCCACAAAAGTTTAGTACATATAACCTGTGTCCTAGTAATAAGAAAATTGTTGTTGCTGATGGTTCACTTACCACAGTGGCAGGATTAGGAGATGTTCAAGTTAATCCCTCGTTTGTTCTCAAAAATGTTCTTCATGTTCCTGGATTGTCTACTAATCTGATATCTATACAAAAACTGACCAGAGATATGAATTGCAAAGTAACTTTTTATCCCTCTTATTGTGAATTTCAGGACCAGAGTTCGGGGAAGATGATTGGACTTGCTAAGGAGAAGGATGGACTATACTATCTTGAGACGTCAAAGAACAAAAGTAGTATCAAAAATAGTTTACCTTTGTCATTTCTTTCTGAAAAATCTTCCAATAAAGACAAAATCTGGCTTTTTCATTTTCGTCTTGGACATCCTTCTTTTGGAACCTTGAGAAACATGTTTCCTTCTTTGTTCAAAGAATTAAATGTTGAAGATTTTCATTGTGATATTTGCGAATTTGCAAAACATAAACGTGTGTCTTTTCCAATCAGTAACCAAAGAAGTTCTACTCCTTTTTACTTGATTCATAGTGACATTTGGGGTCCCTCTACAATTCCTAATATTTCTGGTGCGAAATGGTTTGTTTCATTCATAGATGATTGTACTAGGGTCTCTTGGGTTTTTTTACTTAAATCCAAATCAGATGTGAATAGTGTGTTTTTAAGCTTCCAAAACATGATCCAAAATCAATTTGGAGTAAGAATCAAGAGATTTAGGTCTGATAATGCAAAAGACTACTTCAACCAGAGTCTATCCACCTATTTCCAAAAAGAGGGGATTATCCATGAGTCATCTTGTGTTAATACTCCACAGCAGAATGGAGTGGCAGAGAGAAAAAACAGCTATTTATTAGCCACAACCCGAGCCTTTCTTTTTCAAGCAAATGTACCTAAATCTTATTGGGGGGAAGCTATTCTCACTGCCACACACATTATAAATAGGTTACCTTCAAAAGTTTTGGGATTTAAAACTCCTATGGAACTACTTTCACAATTTTATCCCAACCTCAATACCACAAACAATCTCACACCTAGGATATTTGGTTGTACATCATTTGTTCATGTTCACAGTCATAACAGGGGAAAGTTGGATCCAAAAGCGATTAAGTGTATTTTTGTGGGGTATTCTTCAACTCAAAAAGGATATAAGTGCTATCATCCTCCTACCAAAAAATTTTATGTGTCTGCAGATGTCACTTTTGAAGAAAATAAATCATTTTTTACTCAACCTTATCTTCAGGGGGAGACTTCATTCATGGAAGATAAGGATAAAGACTTCTTTTTGCTTAATTTGCCCCCTTCTTCAACATTTACACTCATTAATTCTTATGAGTCGAAACCTGTTTCTGCTGAGCCCAAGTCAAACATTGAATTTAAGTCTGAACCCATTCCAAATACGGAAGATGTGACAAAGGATAATATTGTTCTTGATTCTATGAAGGAATTACAGGTGTACTCAAGAAGGAAAGTTTCAGATCCTGAACCAGTGCCAATCCAAGAACCTGATCCTAACTCTGGAAATGAGGTAATTACAGTTTTTGACTCTGTTTCTCAAAATGAGCATGAATCTCCTAAAACTATAACTAGTGATTATGATTTTCCTATTGCCATTAGGAAAGGAACCAGAGAATGTACCAAGCATCCACTATACCCAATATCTAATTTTGTGTCATTTGAAAAATTCTCACCATCCCACAAAAATTTTCTTGTGAGCCTAAACACTATTTTTGTTCCAGCTACATTATCCGAGGCATTATCTAGTGAGAAATGGAGGCAAGCCATGAAAATAGAAATGGAGGCCTTAGAGAAAAATCAGACATAGGAACTGGTAGAGTTGCCTAAAGGAAAAAATCCAGTGGGGTGTAAATGGGTTTTCACTGTAAAATACAAGGCAGATGGTACTGTTGAAAGGTATAAAACCAGGTTAGTGGCTAAGGGCTACACTCAGACCTATGGAGTGGATTACCAGGAAACCTTTGCTCCAGTTGCCAAGATGAATATAGTTAGGATTTTGTTATCATTGGCTGCAAATTACAATTGGCAGCTTCAACAATTCGATGTAAAGAATGCTTTTTTACATGGTGATTTGGAAGAAAAAATATATATGAAGGTTCCACCGGGATTTGGAGGTCATCTAGAAGCAAACAAAGTATGCAGGCTAAAAAAGGCTTTATATGGCCTTAAACAGTCTCCTAGAGCTTGGTTCAGGAGATTTGCCAAAGTGATGCCAGCAATGGGATATAAACAGAGTCAAGGAGATCACACATTGTTTATCAAGCACTCTGATTCAGGGAGAGTCACAGTTCTATTAGTGTATGTTGATGATATAATTGTAACTGGAGATGATGAAAAAGAGAGAGAATCTCTAAAACAGTGTTTGGCTAGAGAATTTGAGATAAAAGAGCTTGGGACATTGAAGTACTTCCTAGGAATTGAAGTAGCTCACTCACGGCATGGTATTTTTATCTCACAACAAAAATATGTGATGGATCTTCTGAAGGAAACTGGGAAGCTAGCATGTAAACCTGCAAATACCCTTATAGATCCTAATCATAAAATTGGAGAAGCTAATGAAGATGCTGCTGTAAATAGAGAGATGTACCAAATATTAGTTGGAAGACTCATTTATCTCTCACATACTAGACCTGATATAGCATATGCTGTGAGTGTGGTAAGTCAATTTATGCATAGTCCTAAAGAAGTGCACCTACAGGCTGTCTACCGTATATTGCACTATTTGAAGGCCAATCCTGGGAGAGGTATCTTATTCAAAAGAGATTCGGGGTTAGTTCTAGAAGCATATACAGATGCTGATTATGCAGGTTCAATAACTGATAGAAGATCTACCTCAGGCTACTGCACTTTCTTAGGTGGTAATCTTGTGACTTGGAGGAGTAAAAAACAGAATGTGGTGGCCAGATCAAGTGCTGAAGCAGAGTTCAGAGCAATGGCTCAAGGGATTTGTGAACTACTATGGTTAAAGATTATCCTAGAAGACTTGAAGATCAAGTGGGATGGACCAATGAGACTCTACTGTGATAACAAGTCTGCAATAAGCATTGCACACAATCCTGTGCAACATGACAGAACAAAACACATTGAAGTAGACCGGCATTTCATAAAGAAGAAACTAGACAGTGGGTTGATTTGTACACCTTATGTATCAACCAAGGGTCAACTTGCAGATGTGTTGACTAAAGGTCTCAGCAGTGCAACATTTCAAGAAATTATTTCCAAGCTGGGAATGGAAAACACCTATTCACCAGCTTGAGGGGGGAGTGTGGGAAAACACTTATTTACAGCTGGTTGTAATCTTGTAATCTGTATATTTATATTTGTATCTCTAGAATTAAGTATTTGTATCCCTAGAATTAAGGAAGATTTAGTTTCCTAGTTTAACCCCTAGTTAGTTGTATATAAACCTAAGATTCTTGTATAATTGGATATAAGCAGTTTTTCAATATACATTCAGTTTTCACAGTTTTGAAAAACCAAACTTACATAACTTTTAACTTCTTTCAGCATGTGCATTTAGAGAAGATATAAGCATTTACTTATGAACGGATGGTATTGCAAATCCTACAGTTTCTTAAGGCATACATCGTAGAGCACATTGGTCAGAGTCAAAGAGAAAAGAAGGGAATACAGTAGCTCATTAAAAGCAACACAAATGATGTGTAGTTCATCAATAGATATAAAATTGCAAGAAAGCTGCCTCAGAAACAAAGTGCGGAGTTACTGATATTTTGACAGCACCAACTCCATCTCGTGACTGCATTATTTATGTAATGTATAGAAGGAGAAGATTCATAAAGCAATCAAAGAAAATCACTTGTAGGTGCACCTACTAAAGTATTGCTCAATTATTATGAACTTCACTTAATGTCAAGTAACCCATCAATGGCAGGTCAGTTCTTACAGACATGGAAAATATCAATTCAATGCACACGTGGCATTTATTCTTGCACAAGAAAGCATAACATACCCTGCTCCATCTTGTGACTGCATTATTTATGTAATGTATAGAAAGAGAAGATTCATAAAGCATTCCAAGAAAATCACTTGTAGGTGCACCTACTAAAGTATTGCTCAATTATTATGAACTTCGCTTAATGTCAAGTAACCCATCAATGGCAGGTCAGTTCTTACAGACATGAAAAATATCAATTCAATGCACACATGGCATTTATTCTTGCACAAGAAAGCATAACATACCCGGCCCATAATATCTGCATTAGGGTTCCAATTGTTAAAATTTCCAATCAGTGCTGCTGACTGAAAAAGAAAATGCAGTAAAATAATCAAAAAAATTGAAGAGAAAACAAAACACCTAGAAGTTAATAAAACTTTTTTGATTGCATAGAAGTTAGTAAGATTAATGGTTCAAATCTCAAAATGTTAAAATGATGCATAAAAATCCCTAGCTCCTGGTGCCTACTCCCTATAAGTTATTCCTGTCTCACTGAAAGCTAGATGAGATTATATAAAAAAAAAAAGCAATATCAGCTTATCATAAAACAACTTCTAAGACAAAAAAAGAAAACATGAATGGAGAATAACATTTTTACTAAAAATTAAAGTTAACAAGATAGCTATTAAGCAATGTAATACAAAGAAATGATAAAGGAAACAAGGAGAAGACATTCACAAATAAATAAATAAATAAATAAAATAAACATATAAAAGTGAAAAAATAAAGAAATGACTAATTCTAAGGGCTTTAATAAAATTCTCAATTTTTTCTTGCACCAAAGAACCAAATACTTGCTCCATACTTTGCTGAGCATCAAGGAACTGATTTCTTTCTTAGATTGATCTGCCTAAATTTTAAACATATAAAAATAAAAGATCTGGAAAATCACGTACACTATTCCCACACAAATCAATCACAAGAATATTCCAACACTAATTTTATTTAATTGAAAATTGCTCATTTGAACTAGAAAGAGTAATAAATCAAAACAAATTACATTTAGCATAAAAGGCAATAACATGCAACCATGGGAGCTACAATTAATATGAAACATTACTGTTATGAAAAATAAGCCCATGCTAACAATTAGATATTTGGAAGAACAGTAACCTGTATGTGAAGTCAAGCTTCTCATAGCCAAGAGAAAATGCCTCCAAACCACCTTCATACTTGTCAATTTCCTCCAATATTCTCTTGTACTGTGCATACCTGTAATTAGATAAAATATACAAGGTGATAAAAATGTCAGTGGCACATACCTTATCTACAACATCATTAGACAATTCGATATTCATTGATCACTTTGCTAAATACAAACATTGTAAGAGGGTCCGGTCAGGAGCATCAAACCTGAGTTTTTCGTTTTTTGCATCAAATGCAACATTTTCTCTCCAAAAAGACACACCCGGCCACTCTCCCCTAACCCAGATCCCGACGACGGTAGCCGACCCGGCCGCCGTTCACCGCAGCCGTTCGGCGTCAGTTGACTCCAAAATTTCAGCCGTGGACTCCTCTCTGCCTTCTTGTCTTAGATTCAGCCTCTGTTTTTCGCAAATCACCTCATAATAGCTTAGATCTGAAACTTTAACCCGAAATTTTAAACCGCCGTTCACACTCTTCTCGCCGTCCGGTCGTCCTGAAACCAAAGTATGTTGTTTCTCCCCTTCCATCCTTTCTTTCTACCGGTTCTGATCATCCAAAAGTCTCCTCGCCCGCGCTGACCTCCATACGGCGCCATTGTTCCCACCGCCCAAAAAAATAGCTCTTTTCTCTCCTTTCCCAAAATCTTAAAAATACTCTCCCAAGTCACTCACAAAAACAAAAAAAAAAAAATCCCATGACCGAAAGCCCCTTTCATCCTCAACGGGCCCTTTTCTGTTTCTTTTTTTTTTCCCGATGGATTCCTCAATAGAGGACTGTGGTTGTTTGTAATTTTTTTTTTTGCTTTGTTGGCTTGGTTTTTTTATTTTTTATTTTTGGCTGTGACAGTTGCTATTTATTTTTTGGCAGTTTCGATGGCTATCTTAGTAGGGCTGTGGGTGGTGGGTAGGTGAGAGCTGTTCCTGGGGGGTAGTTGGGAGATCGGTGGGTTTGGCTTGGTGATCGGCTGGCAAAGGAAAGGGAATGGGATGATGGTGGCGGTTTAAGGCGAGAAGGTATGGTGGTACACATGGTTGCCGGTGGAGGCAATGGCTTGTTGGATTTTTGGCATTGCCTTCTTCGTCCAAAAATTGGCCTCCAGAAAAAAATGCCTTTCAAAAGTTTTTTCAGAAAAGATTGGCCTCCTCTCTTGTCTCAATTTTTAGCCAGATCCAGTTCAAATCCCCAAATTTTTTAGATTTGAGAAAAACTTTAATTCAAATTTTCGATTTTATGAGATTTGAGAAAGACTTTACAATTTTTGTGCTGGCAAGTTAGACAACAATACATAGGGCAATCAGCTTGAATTCAACAGTGGAATTATTTGAATTTGGACTGTTTTGAGTTTTCAAGCTTTCTGTTTTTTTTTTTTTTTTTTTTGACTTTTTTTCAAAGAAATTAAAATTAAAAAATAGAATAATAAGAATTTAAAATAAGATAAGCTACAGTATTTTATTGAGCCCTCTCAAAATAATTTGGATAAAATAATTTTAAATCCAAAATAATTAGAATGAGATTTAATTTATTTGGTTTATTTGATGGTTTAATAAATTCAAAATATTTATTGAGAAAATAATTAATGATAATATTTTTTAAATTAAGTAGATTCAAATAAAATAAAAATTATTTAACAAATTATTTTGACTCAATTTTAAAATTAATCCAAACAAAATATGATAAATACACATTTTTTGCACCATATCAAATGAATTATTGTGTTTTGAATTTGGTTGGTTTATGGTTTATGTTTGGCAACAAAATAAATGTTGATTTCAATAAGTTCAACCAGTCATGTAGCTGAGGATAATGTTAAGGTAAATGCAATAAAAAAATTTTCTGCAAAATGGGATAGTCATATTTTGTTGAGCCATCCTCCAATATTTTATATTTAAAAAATTAGCATTTGTTTTCATGTTTGTGCCTTTAAGCAACTTTTATCCAAAGAAACAAGAACAAAACTTTAGACTATTAAATTGCACATGGCTTGAAAAGTTATGAAGCTGTCACATTTGGAAACTTTAAAAACTTGTTTTTTTTTCTAAGTTTGTACATAACTTAACAGAAATCTAATATCTTTATTTTGGTATAGAAATTAGAATTGCAAGAGTTTTGAAACAGTAAGAACTACAATGTTGTGCAAGAGAAATTTGTGAAAATAAATGAACCAAACATGAAAATTACCATAATGGCTTTCAATGATAGCAGCATGCAAAGCTGTTTGGCCATCTAAACCCCCATATGCTACGAACTTATTTGTTGATGTCATAATTTCATTCATTATCTCTAGCTTTCCTTCTTTGGAAGCAAGATACAAAGGTGATTCACCAACAAAACTTTCTAAAAAAGCTAACTTAGGATCAACCTTTAGCAAGAGTTGAACCACTCTAAGATGAACATTCCTAAGAGCTTCATGCAAAACTATGTTGTTTTCCTTGTTAACTATTCTCAGAATCTCAAACTTGCCCTTGCAGCAATATGTAGAGGTGTATCTCCATCTAAATTCTGCTTTATCAGAAGTGATCCACACTTGCCATAAATCTCACTAATAATAATCTTGTGTCCAAATTTCACACTATATTTTCCTGGAGAGTTACTTTAAAAGTAATATTGGATTTTGATATTGAAAATGTTTGACATATTGGTTGAATTTTGGATCCATTGAATAATCATATCTAGAATTGTTAACAGGTAAAGCTTTTGATTCCCTAACTACATTATAAAAAAAAGTATATTCCCTTTTACAATCTGGCTTTATACAATATTTAGTCAAAATATCACTGGCTTACCTCTTCATAGATTGAAATATAGCTTTTGCTTTAACTTTTACTAAATGAAAATAAAATATACATAGGTAGAAAATCATTCTAGATAACAAATTCAATATAATTGGCCAACATGGACTATTTCAAAGGGTCCAAGTTTGTGACTTGACCAAAGCACAATATTACAGAAAATTGCATGAAAAAAAAAGACAATGGAAAGTTATGTACAAACTTAGAAAGAAAAACAAGTTTTTAAAGTTCATAGAGTTATTTTTTAAATCTCCAATTTATTAATTTTTAGAATATTGATAAATTAGTATTATTTTATTTTGAATAAAATTGTATGAATATAAACAGTTGTTTTATGACAAAACGACAAAACAAAATAACATAACGATTTAAAATAAATAATTATTAAAATAGTCATAACTATTTAAACTCACTCGATAAACAAATTTAAAAAATAAATCTTAATAATTTAGTATTATTTTATTTTAAATAAGCTTATATAAACTGAAATAATTTTTTATGACATAATAATAATTTAAAATAGATTCCAAAAATTATTAATTAATTAAGAGATTTATTTTTTTAAATCTCTTAATTAGAAACAATTGTTTTATGATAAAACAAATGGTCATAACAATTTGAAATAAATAATTGTTCAAATAGTTATAACTAATTAAACTGGTTTGACAAACAGATTTATCTTTTAAATATTATTTAATTTATTTCAAATAATAAAGTAAAATTAACATTTAAATAATTTAACATTTTGCAAATTATCGTAAAAATTAATCACTTAGTTATTATTTTAACTAATAAATTTTAATATTTAATTATTTATGTCATTAATTTTTACGATAATAAATATTAAATAAAGTATTAATTATATTAAATAAAACTAATATATATTATTATAATATTATAATGATCTTAATTATAATAGAAAATTGTTAGGGATAAATTAGTTTAAATAAAATAATCATTTATTATAATTTAAAATATAACATTTAACTATATTAAGGATATAAGCTTTTATTCAGAATATAATTATTTATTTTATTATAATTTTAAATCTTTTAATTATTAATTTTCAAAATATTAATAACATGGTATTATTTTATTTACAATAACCTTATATGAATTGAAATAAGTGTTTTATGACAAAACAAAAAGTCATAACGATTTGAAATAGATAACTATTCAAATAGTCATGACTGTCTAGGTAAACATATTTATTTCTAAAATTTTTAATTTATTAATTATCAAAATATTAATAAATTAGTATTATTTTAATCAAAATAAGCTTGTAAGAATAGAAAGAATTGTTTTATAACATAACAAAATGTCATAAAAGATTTGAAATAAATAATTGCTCAAATAGTCATAACTATTTAAACAAGTTTGATAAATAGATTTATTTTTTAAATCACTTTTTTATTTTTGAAATATTAATAGATTAGTATTACTTTATTCCTAATAAACTTATATGAACAAAACCATTTGTTTTATGACAAAACAAAAAGTAATAATGATTTGAAATATGTAATTATTTAAATAGTCATAGTTATTTAAACTGATTAGGTAAATAGAATTATTTTTTAAATCTCTTATTAATTTTTGAAATATTAATAAATTCATTTTATTTTATTCTGAATAAGCTAGTATGAATTGAAAAAATTCTTTTATGACAAGACAAAAGGTCATAATGATTTGAATTAGATAATTGTTCATATAGTCTTAACTATTTGAACTAGTTTGACAAATAAATTTATTTTTTAAATCACTTAGTTATTAATTTTTGGAATATTATTAGATTAGTATTGTTTTATTTCGAATAAGCTTGAACGAATAGAAATAATTATTTTATGGCATAACAAAAGGTTATAACGATTAAAAGTATAAAATTGTTCAAATAGTTATAACTATTTGAACTGGTTCGGTAAACAGATTCATTTTTTAAATTTCTTATTAATTTTTGAAAGATTAATAAATTGTTATTATTATTTTATTTCGAATAAGCTTGTATGATCAAATACTTATTATTTGAAATAGATAATTATTCTAATAGTCTAACTATTTGAACTGATTCGACAAACACATTTATTTTTTTAAATCTCTTACTAATTTTTGGAATATTATTAAATTAGTATTATTTGAATTGAATAAGCCAGTATGAAAAGAAACACTTGTTTTATGACAAAATAAATATCATAAAGATTTGAGATAGATAATTGTTCAAATAGTCATAAATATTTGAACTATTTCAATAATAGATTTTATTTTTAAATCTCTTATTAATTATCAAAATATTAATAGATCAGTATTATTATATTTTGAATAATTATATATGAATAGAAATAATTGTTTTACAACAAAACAAAATGTCATTATGGTTTGAAATAGATAATAGTTCAAATAAACATGACTATTTAAACATATTCGGTAAACAAATTTATTTTTTAAATCTAAAACTTATTAATTTTTAGAATACTAATAAATTAGAATTATTTTATTTCAAAAAAAAATGTATGAATAGAATTAATTGTTTTATGACAAAATAAAAGATCATAACGATTTGAAATAAATAATTATTCCAATAGTCATAACTATTTGAACTTGCTCAATAAACAGATTTATTTTTTAAATATTCTACTTATTAATATTTTGAATTTTAGTAAATTAATATTATTTTATTTCAAAAAAGCTTTTATGAATAGAAACAGTTGGTTTATGACAAAACAAAAGGTCATAATAATTTGAAATAGATAATTCTTCAAATAGTTATAACTATTTGAAATTGTTCAGAAAATATATTTATTTTTTAAAGTTTTACTTATTAATTTTTGGAATATTAATAAATTTAAATTACTTTATTTGAAATAAGCTTGCATGAACAGAATCAATTATTTAATGACAAAATAAAAGATCATAATGTTTTGAAATAGATAATTGTTCAGATAATCATAACTATTTGAACTTATTCAGTAAATATATTCTTTTTTTAATTCTCTTACTCATTAATTTTCAGAATATTAATGAATTAGTATTATCTTACTTCAAATAAACTTATATGAATTGAAACAAGTGTTTTATTATAAAAGAAAAGGTCATAATGATTTGAAATAGATAATTATTTAAATATTCATGACTATTTGAACTTGTTTAGTAAATATATTTATTTTTTAAATCTTTTACTTATTAATTGTCAAAATATTTATAAATTAATATTATTTTAATCCGAATAAACTTGTATGAACAAAAATAATTATTTTATGACAAAACAAAAAGTCATAACAAGTTGAAATAAATAATTGCTTAAATAGCCATAATGATTTGAACTTGTTTGGTAAACTGATTTATTTTTTTAAATATTTTACTTATTAATTGTCTTAATATTAATAAATATGTATTATTTTATTCAAAATAAGCTTAGATGAACAAAAAAAAATTCTTTTATGACAAAACAAAAGGTTATAGTTATTTCAAATAGATAATTATGTAAACA